AAATGATTTTTTCTAATAAATTCACCTTATTTAGTAATCAAACTAACCAAATATTGAATTTCTTAGTTAGTTTGATCATCCGATTATAATTAAGCATGTAGTACACACTTTACATCGTTCTTTTTATTATGCTAATAACTATTTCGAATAAAATTTTCACAAAACATTATTGTTTGCAATTTTCACAAACTCATTTTATTCCTTGATTTAAAGTAATTTTGTGATGGTCATAAGATTCAATTAATAATCTTATGACCTTAGATTTTTCCTCGTTCGTGAGTAATTTGTCGGCATAAATCGTTTGTTGTCTAAATTCAAGCTGCTTATCTATGTCAGTGTAAATTTTATAATCAGTATTGCGCATGCTCTAGTAGCTTTAATTGATTCTTCATGAATGAAGGTCATAATGCAATGAAATAAAAAATAATTCAAAATAAGAAAGATAAACGGAATGTAACTCCGGTTTAAATAGAATTTGTAGTAAATATAAATTACACAACTCGATCAAAAGACTGATCTGCACAAACATGCATGATATTACAAATAAAACTTTAAATAGTTCATTTGGAAAAGTTAGATATTGTTTGAATGTCAATGTTATATATTGTATATAATAAATTTTGTATAAAATTAATCATGTTAGAAAAGGTCAAGTATCTTTACCAGAGACAATATAATTAATAGGGCTGCGTCTCGTATTAAAAATTGAATCATTCAAATTATTCAAATTACAAATTAATTCGGATGATCGGTTTTAAGATTTGACAACCGGGATCACCCGGTCATTTATTGCATAAGTTTGAATTGTCAATTCGTTACCCTACCCGTTTACTTATATCTTTCAATGATTAATGATGAACTTTCTGACGATATTCCTTTTGACTCACATTCAGACGATAATAACATTTCCGTTATATTTATTAATATTCTTCGAAGGCTTTATAAATAAAAGCGAAACGTTATAAGTTACGTAAATATATTTTAATTTGTTGTGAAGTGATCAATAAAAATTAAAAAAAAAAGCATTTAATATAATATATCATTTCATAAATTAAAATATTTAATATACTTTATAAAATGATAAACTTTTAAGATTTTAATATTGATATCTTGTGTTATATGTTATGCGAATAATTTGATCCTAAAAAACTGGATACCTGATATTTAAAATTATAAGGACACGTAGGTGATAAATTATGAGATGACCCAATCTCTAGTCAATACCGAGAGAAAGATTTACTTGTTGTACAAGAAGATGGGATTCATCAAAAGAGAAAAGAGAAAATCAAGAGATTGTTTGTTATTGTATAATTTGTCATTATACACGACTATCTCTTTTTTCGGTTCGTATGGAATCATAATTACTGTGTATGAAATGAAGCTAGGAAAAATAGATTAATTTTATTTTTCAACAAAATTGAGACATTCTATTTTTTAAGTTATTATATAAAATTGCAATTAAGAACTTTATATACATTCTTTGCTATGCATTATAATTAATAAAGTACCAAGAAACCTATTAAGGTTGCCGTGCAAAACCCAGAGATTTCGACAGGCATCGAAATCAAAACCATCGAAATCGAAAGGTTTCGACTTTTGCCAAATTGGGATTTGGATTTTGCTCCACAACTTAAACCCTATAATATAAATTATTATAAAACTAAAAAATAAAACAAAACTCTTTACATCATATTAGTATACAAAATAGTTCTATAAAAAATCCCAGTTTTGAAAGTGATCTTATGGGATTGCAATAGAAAAGGGGGAAACGGATTAAAAAAAAATGAGTTAATGCTAAATCTGACCTAAAATCATATTTGGCATATAAATGTAAAATCTATTTTTTCCGCAGTTTCACTCTTTCTATTGTAAAGGTCCCATATCATCTCTGTTTTTCTCGAAATTAAAGTTACAATGCATTTATTTTCGGATGTTTCAAACTTGAAAATAATTCTTCGGAGTAATAGGCCAAAAATAGTCCTTAGAAGATAATTTTTGCTGCTGTTAAACTAGCGGTATTCTATTGTAATCAAATTTAGGAATATATATTTATTATGTCTTGTGATCGAATTAATAACGACGACCCAAATATTCGATCTTTATTAGCTAGTATCCACATCATCTACTACGTGCTTTAAAATCGAATGCTCTATAATTACTAGCTAAAAAAGGAAAAAGGTATATGTTAAAGGAATTTTTTTTTTAAAAAAAAAAAAATAAAAGTTAACTTTAATATACATTATACCAAGTGAAGAAAAAATCTGTAACTGCCATATGACATGTAAAATACAATCTATTTCTTCATACATAAAAGACTTAGACAATTTTCGTGAACATCCATCCATCCTTAGAGAGTTAAATTTTGTTATTTCTTCTGATCATAAATGATCAAAAATGATGATGGAGGACATACCATAGGTAGTTGATGATGCTTCTGTA